ACCTGCCTTCCATGAACCCGTGCTGGCTATACACATATATATATACACATGTACACTTGAAAGTTCATTATATGCAGGCAGAAGTCGTAAAGAAAGGGTTCAGGGTCAGGATAGCTTACAGCAGACATGCTGGTGAAAGGATTTATCTGGCTCATATGACAAAGAAAAATGTCAGTAAAAGTAAGTATGGCATGGTTGCTTGGGAGGACCATCTACTGTGCTGCTTATAACAAAGCTATCATGGGAAAGAACAGGGTCTGCAGGGACGTGAGGTGCCTCTGAAGAGTGCTGATTAATTTGCTTCTCTTTGGATGTCAATTCTGTGGTTCTGCCATCCTTTGTTGTACTGGGACAGCTGAAACAGTGGGTGGTGGAGTCAAGGGGAGCTTTTTCAAGGGACAGGATTTTTCTCCAAAGCAACACGGTGACCAGCCATGCTGATGGCAGCTTCTTTAGCCACAGCTACAGCTGAAGGAAGGCCAGGATGCTTACATGTGATTTACTAGTACTTCAGCTTTGCTATTAATCAGACAAAGATCTTCTTCCTTTCAGATTTCAGCACATTTTAATTTTCTGTCATTTTGACACATCCCGGGTATGCAGCATTCTCTTTAGCTATTATCACAAAGTATCTCCTACACTTAAAACTCTGAAATAACAGTGTATGCTGCTCTTCATATGTATACAGCAGTTCTGTTACCTTTGTCAGCTCACCTTTGCAAAAGCCAGATTAATAATGTAACTCTATTGAGTAGGCTGATATTTTCCTGACTGCCCAAGGTCTTTGGGTGTCTCAAGGATACTCCTGTTTGCCATCTGAAATCCATTGCTATTTCAAAATAGAAGAGATGTAAGAAAAGAAACCCCAATCCCACTGGAATAAATTGTACTATTTTCCTCAAATTACATTCCATTTTATGTCTGATCAGTCACCAAAAAGTGTTTTACCTATAATTTGAAGTATTTCAGAGGAGAAAATGGAAAGGATTGTCAGGGATATCTTCAGTATTGGTGGGGGGTTTTTTTTGTGCATCTGATGTTTAGATAAACAGTTACCTCTTTTCTAGCTATCCAGATTTTTATGTCATTTTTCCAAGAAACCTACATGATAATTATTATCATTTGTCAGAGAAAATCTCCTTTCCCCTTCTCTGTTCTCCAAGTGGAAAATGATGCAACTCCTAAGTCAGTATAAGTATTTTGTATTTTCTCTGTAATGTGTGTTATTGAAAGTTGAGTGAAGAAATAACACCTTCCACCTGGAATGGAAATCAGTAATCTGGAGTGTTTGTTGTATAGCCAAGGACCATCTCATGGGGAAACCTCTTTGTCAACACAGATAACTTCTTACCCTTTTTATGGGATGCTTCTATTCAAGATGAGGCATATATCCCATGACTTCAGACAATCTTTACATTTTTTGGACCTTTATCACTAAGCAAATTTGAATTCCTGCTTTATAAAAGATATAATTTTGATAAAACGCTTCAAAAGAAGTAATTTAACATTTTCAAATTTTTGATTGCTAAAGAGATTTTTCCTCCAAACAATGCAAATTACTAGGAATGACATAAGCAGGAAGACCAAAATATTTATCACTACTAGTAGAACTACTATTAAAGCTTCCTAGAGGATATTAGTGCCCCCTTTGGAAAATGATAAAAGTATCCCCTTCAGTTTCATGATCTCCTACAACATTGTAATCAGAAAAGTGTTTCTTCCCCTGTTGCTATTTTTAGTCAGATTTAACTTTTATCCCTTTGCCAGCCATAGTTTTCAACACTTCTTCATGCACATAGCGTAGCGGTTACTTGAACCAAATTTTGAACAACCACAAATTAGACTATGACGAGGTAGAGAAAAGCAGGCTGGCTGAGAACTAAATAAGGACAATATGAGTGTTAATGCCATTTTATTTATAGTGAATAGCTTGGTTTTCAGATGTGTTTAAGCAAAGATTCATTCTCTTTTCAGAAGGAATCAAAAAGTGATTATGAACTGGAAACTGAATCTGAACATTTAAACAGGAGATAGAGAACTGATGGGAGTAATAACTTTGATAGGTTATGTGTCTGCATATATCCCTGTGCAGTTTGCATGTGTCTGTGTATGAAAACACACCATTAAATGCATTCTCTTTCAGCTTCTCAGTGGTATGGATTGAAAACAATTAAGTGCAGTAGAACTGTTCTGGACACGTTACTACAAATAAATTTGTTTACATAGTCATCCCAAATTGCACTTTTGACATTGCATTGAGTGGAAAAGCCACTGGCAGTTTCCGAATTGGTTGCAAAAAAAGGATAAACCTGATTTAGGTATTTCTTGTTATGGGTACAGAATTAAACATATGTATTTATTTCGCATTTCACTGTAAAATAAAGCAGAGCAGACAGCAACTGCAGAAAGTCTGAGAGACAAGGGCCAGCATTTGTTTTATTTATAGGAGTTATCAGCTTTACCTGAACTGAAGTGCATTTCAGATACACCTTAAAGTGTTTTTCCCTTTACCTGTGACTCAGATTTGTTGAGAGCTCTCTTAGCCACGGACTCCCTTAGTGCTCTCTCAGCAAAAAAATATCTCCATCGTGTGGTCAACTGTGAAAAATCAGAATTTTTTTCCTAAAAACCAACTAAAGACGGGTGGTGGGAGAGTATCAGCCTTTCCATGGCTGCCTTGCACCCTCCGGCCGCCGCGGTGGGCAGGCTCACCCGCCCCTCCACCCTTAAGAAATTTCCATCTTCTCTTTGGATGAGGCATAGATACAGAAATACAGTCTAGAAAAATACTGGAGACAAGATGCTTCTGTGTAAAGCCCTACCCCACGGTGTGTGTTCAGCATAATTAGAAGATAATGATTTTCCCCTTTCTATTATTTTTTGACAAGCCCAACCACACAGCTACTGCATCCCTCAAGTTAATTACAAACAAGAAATCCACCTTAAAGTGTAAACTGATTCCAAGTACAGGGAAATTGTTAATCATAAATTGCCAATCGGTTTCAAGTAAAAGAAGATGACAAAATACCTTACTGTGCCTGCCTCATTATGCAACTGAGGTCAATTTTAGCAAGTCCCTTGGATGTCCTTTTATCCTGTTTTAAGATGGTGTAAGTGTTCTGTTTTGTAGAAATACAATCAGTGGTCAGACACCTTCTTTTCTTACCAGTAGCAGATATAAGAACCCAAGTTAAAATTGTAAGTCTTTCTTTCACCAGCCAGGGATAATTAAGGTAGAGAATAGGGAGATGTGACTCAGTATGCTACTGAGGGCAACAGTAATTCAGGCCTTTTTTTTCCCCCATTTTCTTCTGGACAGCCCTTAGAAATACCAGTATAATCTAATGCAACACTTGCTTGAAGCCTGTACCATGCTTTCATCCTACTACACTTCTTTTTGCTGTTCCTCTTCAGAGTTACTATCCCTCTTACCCTCCCTCTTTATCAACACCAAACTCTGCATTGCAAGCTAAGTTTCTTTCTTCCATACCCCTCTATGTGACCAAGTGTTTTTAACAGGGAGCTAGCAGGAAATTTTCTCTTTAATATGGTTTTATAGTGCAGGTTTTGGTTAGCTCTATCTTAAATGTGACGTTAGGAGCAATAGCAAGTGTCTTGCTAACACCATGTTTATGTCAAGCTTTTCTCAATTCAGTAAAATACGCTTTGGTCTGTGCAAGTGAGTGACATGATCACATTGTTCCCCTTCTATCTCAGATCAGTGACTCTGGGACTCTGCAAGCAGAGACCTAGCTTGCCCCACCACATCCATACTAATGCTGGAATAGCAGCATATCGATGAAAATGTAGTAAATCCACTTTGCCTTCCCAGTTACAACATTCTCCCTTCTGGAAAGCTAATGACAGGCTTTGCTCCAACACTGACATTTTTCAACAGACTTTGAACCATCTCTCTCAGCTTCCTAGATACCACATATTGCACAGACCTGCTGTTTTGCTATTCTGTAAGAATTTTACTACCAGACAGGGATTCATGGTTTTTTGTTCTGTTCTTTTCTTTTCTTTTTTTCAGAGGCGTGCAGCTGACAATCTGAGAAGACATCATCAATACCAGGTACAGGCCCATGTTTATTTTTTGAGCAATTATTTTTCTATGCTTCCAAAAGGTCTTCAGGAGGGAAAAAAAGGAAGAGTTTAATAAGAAAGAAAAAAAAAAAAAAGAAAAGAAAAAACCCAGAAAATACATACTTATTTCATCCTCAGCAAAAGAGCATAGTATTTTTGGTGTTCAAACAACAGCATTTGAGAAGTAGGGTTGTCTACTTTTGGGGTGCAAAAGGATATTTCCTAGAGCAATAATACACTAACCAGTATTTTGCCCACTGTGACATGGATTGCCTTTAAAAAAGCAAGCACGTAGTCCCACCTCTCTGCTGGGATTCATCAGGATCATATGTGCAGCTCACTGACATGCTTCATCAGAAACTGCTCTCCATCTCTTAGGCTCTGGTCCCCCATAGACGATTTCCTATCCCTCAGTAAGACCTCTGCCTAGATCCCCTGTAAGCTGTTGTTCTTCTCCATCCTTCCTGCTTCAGTCTCTGACTTTTTAAGATTGTTGTAGCACAAGGAATAATTTTCAGATGTACTTTCAATTTTTGTTGTGTTAAAAGAGCTGCAAGTTAAACAAGATGTGGGCTGTACACTTGAAGGTTTGGTAATTAATGGATTCCATATGGGAAATGACGAGGTAAACTAGGACTTTTCCAACCTGAAAAAGAGGCAGCTGTGGGAAATACAACAGGGATCTATAAAATCATGGGGAAGATGAACACGGAGCAGCTGTTTACCATCTATCCACAAACTGAATGCCAGACATGTACTAAGCTGCATTAGTAAGGCTGTAGGCAGCACTTTGAGGGAAGTGATTATTCTCCTCCAGCCCACACTTGTAAGACTCTATCTTGAGCATTGTGTCCTGTTTTGGGCCCCCCACTACAAGAGAGATGTTAACAAACTGGAAGGAATCCAGTAAAGGGCCACCAGGATGATTAGAGGGCTGACATAAAAGGAGAAGCTCAGATTTCAGCCTGGAGTAGGTTAAGGGGGATCTAATTGCTGTCTTCAACAACATAGTGGGTGGTTAGAGAGAAGAAGGAGCCAGATTCTTCTTGGAGGTGCACAGCAAAAGAACAGGAGTCAATGGGCACAAATGGTAGGAAGGGAAATTCCATAATGAAAATCATCATCACAGAAAGGGTAGTGAAGAATTGGAAAAAGTTGTTCAGGGACGCTGCAGCATCTTCACCCTTGCAGGTATTCAGCACTTGGCTGGACATGGCCCTGAGCTAGATCAGACAGCCTCCAGGCATCCCTTCCAACCTAAATAATTTTAGGATTCTTAGAAGTAGAAGGCAACAATGGAAACTATCAGAGAGCAGGTTAAAAATAAACAAAACCCCAAATGGAATCTTGTTCCAGCTGTACCGTGGAATTCATTGGCAGAGGATTTGTGGATGCTGAAAGTTCACAGGAGTTCAAAACACATAGGAAAACCTGTCACAGCCCATTATACCTAGAGCTATCCTTTCTAATTTGGAAAGTCTCTGAATCTCACATCACAGGAGGCTTGGAAGAGTATAGCTGGAAATAACATAATACAACTGCACTAGACTTACACTCCTCAGGAGGCATCAGCGACTTCTCACTGTCATGTTACTGGCATGAGACATACCTTTGGTGAAACCCAGTACAGCCATTCTCAGGATTATTAAAATCACTGCTTTCCACTGAAAAGCTGAACAAATTTTCAACCAGATCTAAGGTTTATACATTTTTTGTCATGTTCCTAAAGCACAAAGAAGTCCAAGCAGGCCCAGTGAGTGTAGGTTTAATAACTAATACCAAGAAAGCTAACACAATATTTTAAATTTTTAGGAAGTTATGAGAAATCTGGTTAAGAGATATGTTGCAGCAATGATAAGAGATGCCAAAACTGAGGAAGGACTGACAGAAGAAAATTTTAAGGTATGTGATAATTTATATGTTTATAGGTGTTTTAGTAAGATATTATAAGACTGTGAAGCATATTTCTCAAACTCCCCAGTTGTTCAGATAGCATATAACTTGCTTCCTGATGGACCACACACAGATACTACTGTACATGGACTCCAGCAAGTCTCCTTTTTTCTTCAGATGTTGTTCAGGTAGCATATAACTTGCTTCCTAAAGCAGTGTCTGTGTCCTGATGGACCACACACAGATACTACTGTACATGGACTCCAGCAAGTCTCCTTTTTTCTTCAGATGGAGAAATAATCAGTTTTATCAGCTAGCTTGAATAGTGCCCATGTAAGAGGACACCAAAGTGGGACTAAGCATGTGTAACAACATATTTGCTAAAGCAAGATGCAGATAGTTTCACACCTTAGGAAATAGAATTTTTCTGCTATAGAGTGCTGTTGTGCATATATTTGTGTACAGAACAACTTTCATATGATTTAAAAGATGGAAAACTTAAATAAGCAGTCAAATATTAAAATCCTTTGACACAGATGAAGTGAACAGGGCCATAGATATCACAATGCTTACATCCACCACTGTGTATTTTTAACATCAAACATTTTTATTACTATTGGCACCTCAAACAGCAAACATTCAAAATTATTTTCATCTGCCTCAGCTTACACACGCAGAAGATACAGCCAGAGCCTGAGCTAGTTGCTTCATTATTGCTTCATTCAGATCATCTTGAGTGCCATCACGCGGCACGTACAGGACACCCAGGTGATCAGGCCCAGTCAGCATGGGTTTATGAAAGGCAGGTCCTGCTTGACTAACCTGATCTCCTTCTATGACAAGGAGATCCACTTAGTGGATGAGTGAAAGGCTGTGGATGTTGTCTACCTAGACTTCAGTAAAGCCTTTGACACCATTTTCCACAGCATTCTCCTGGAGAAACTGGCTGCTCATGGCTTGGACGGGCGTACTCTTCACAGGGTAAAAAACTGGCTGGATGGCTGGGCCCAAAGAGTTGTGGTGAATGGAGTTAAATCCAGCTGGCAGCCGGTCACAAGTGGTGTTGCACCACTTGAGGCTAAGTGCCAAGTCCTGCACTTGGTTCACAACAACCCCATGCAACACTACAGGCTTGGGGAAGAGTGGCTGGAAAGCTGCCCAGAGGAAAAGGACCTGGGGGTGTTGGTCAACAGCTGGCTGATTATGAGCCAGCCATGTGCCTAGGAGGCCAAGAAGGCCAACAGCATCCTGGCCTGTATCAGAAATAGTGTGGCCAGCAGGAGTACGGAGGTGATCGTGCCCCTGTACTCGGCACTGGTGGGGGCGCACCTAGAATACTGTGTTCAGTTTTGGGCCCCCTACAAGAAAGACATTGAGGTGCTGGGGCGTGTCCAAAGAAGGACAATGGAGCTGGTGAAGGGCCTGGAGCACAAGTCTTATGAGGAGCAGCTGAGGGAACTGGGGTTGTTTAGCCTGGAGAAAAGGAGGCTGAGGGGAGACCTTATCGCTCTCTACAACTACCTGAAAGGAGATTGTAGCGAGGTGGATGTCGGTCTCCTCTCCCAAGTAACAATCAATAAGACAAGAGGAAATGGCCTCAAGTTGCACCAGGGGAGGTTTAGATTGGATATTAGGAAAGCTTCCTTCACCGGAAGGGTTTTCAAGCATTGGAACAGGCTGCCCAGGGGAGGGGATGAGTCACCATCCCTGGAGGTTTTTAAAAGACGTGTAGACATCGTGCTTAGGGACATGGTTTAGTGGTGGACTTGGCAGTGTTAGGTTTACAGTTGGACTCAATGGTCTTAAAGGTCTTTTCCAACCCAAATGATTCCATGATTCTATGATTATCCCTTTAGAGAAAATGAAGAGAAATAGGGCCCTCCTGAAGGCAAGGTGCTTTCTCCTGAGACAGGCCTTCGAGAGACAGAGGTTGCACTGGCTGAAAGCAGCCTGCAATGATTAGCTCTGACTTAGCTGTCAATTGCCAAACATTTAGTGGAAATACTTTCTCTGCTACTCACAGGGAAGTATGCACACATGTGTATGCCGTGTGCGTGCATGTGTCCCCGTGTGTGTGTGCAAAGGATGGTGTTAAGAGCTGATCAAAATGCTGTTATTATGATGGGATAATACTGTCTAGCAGATTGGCTGTAGGTCTTCAAGTTATCCATGCTCTTTCCTCCACCGCTGTCGGTGATTTCTATGAGTAGTCTAGGCTAAGGCACATTTCCTCTAAAGTTTCCTCTGATAAAATTGCTGATCACTTTTCTGTCTCACCTGGAAGACACATTAGACGGTCTGCAAAGCACCTTGAAGATGCTAGGTATTATCCAGATGGTGAAGTTTATTACTGATCCCTAGCATAAGCCTTTTTTTTTCTTTTTTTAATTACAAGAGGAAAAGTCAAATTAGCTTTCATGCTCTGATGTTTCATCTTTCCTCCTAATTTTTAGGAGTTAAAACAAGATATTTCCAGCTTTCGTTTTGAAGTCCTGGGTTTGTTAAAAGGAAGCAAGCTGTCTAATTTGCAGACTGCAAAGATGAGCAAAGACGCTGCCTCTCTGTCAGAAAATGAAGAAAATAGTGAAAGTGAAGGAAACAAGAAAGGAAAGAAAAAGACCTTCAGCCTTTTTGACATAACAACGATGATTCACCCAAGATCAGCCACTATTGCCTCTGAAGCACATAATGTAAGCAATGGCTCAGCAATGATGGTGTCGGAGTCCACTAAGGAGAAACAAAAGCGTGTGAATTTTGTAACAGACATAAAAAATTTTGGGTTATTTCACAGACGATCAAAAACAAACTCTGTGGAGCAGAGTACAAATAAAATATACACCGTTTCTGAAGAAGTTTCCCGTCAACAGGCAGAAGAACAGTGTGAGAAAACTGCTGAACTGGAAGAGGGAGAACTGGCCATGAACTGTGAATTAAACATCCAAAGTCCTGATGAAAAATGCGTGTTAGCTGAGTCACAAAATAACGGCGACTCTCCAGATTCACAGGAAGAGGGAAGTATTTGTGCTTCAGAAACAGAGAAAATGGAGTTACAGAACTCAGAACCAGCCACACCGCAGGATCAGCTGGACAAGGAGTTGGACATTAGCATTGACTGTGGTGGGAAACAGGAAACAATTGATCAGGGTGATTATGTGGTAACGAGGTTGTGATGCTTACAGGAGGAAGCATTTACAAATATATATATTTTGCATAGTGCTTTTGGGGGGGGAATGTTTTAAGAATTATATTAGCAAATGCAGAATTACACTTTATAGTACTCAGTTGTGGCACATGATCTTGTAACATAGTAGTCAAGAGAAAGATAATACGGAAACCTTCAGTTTTGTAGCCTGCTTTAGCTTTCACAATTTGTTTTACATTTTTTAATAAATGGAAGCATCTTGTATTCTTGTACTGTTGCAATAACCCACAGAAACTTTTTAGCTAACTTTTTCAATTACAACAAATGCAATTTCTCTCATATAATAGTTGACTCCTATGATAAATATTTTTCTATGCAAATAAAAAGTAGCTTAAGAGACTTGTAAGCCTTTATTTAACTTTGTAGGTTCTTAAAAGATTCTGGGCACCATAATAATCATAAGAGCTCCAGTCAGCATAATTCATGTCAAGCTATTAGAATCATTTATTTAAATTGCTAGAAACTTGATTTGTTTCAAAAGTATACAGAATCAAAAGATAAAGTATATTCTTTTATTTATTGAAGGAATATGAATACCTGTAAATTATGAAAGATCAGTCTATTTGATTATTTAATTACAGCTTCTCCCTCCCAGCAAGAGGATTATCACCACCCTGATACCATTGTTAGAAATGCATTTGCAGGATTTGAAGACTGTAAAAAAATGTTTCTTACAGTAAAAGAAATACTTGTGGCTTGCTAAAAACAGATGACGGATTACTCCCCGGAAATCCGTAATCACAACAGCTACTGCTTCTTCAACCATTTATTTTTCCAAATGTGGACAACCTATGCACTTTAATATTCAACTGCTTATTAGCTTTTGCCTTCACAATACACTCGTATTTGCTAAGAGAAAGATACTTCAGGAATTAACAAACATACAATGATCCCCTGAGTACTTGGAAGAATATGGCAATTTGTTAAGAAGTTTTTAAAGGCAAGCCTTAAGAGAGTTTCTTTGACAATTTCGAGTTTGGGGGAACCTGATTGGAGGTTTTATAAAAATACTTAGACATTTAAATGTATAAAGAAAACCTAATAGTATTTTTCATAACTGATGAGTGACTTATTGTCTTAGTCAAAAACAGTATTTTTAAAATTAAACAGTCTGTTTCTTTTTAATCAGTGACTGGTGTCCTACATTATTAAAGATGTAATTTTACAACTGACATAAGAATGACAATCCTCGAACTCTCAGCACCATCTTTCTCCTCCCTTGGAAACACATGTATATACCACATCAGTGTGGTCATTTCATTCTTAACTTCCCTAGCCCTGCCATGATAGATTTTGTAGTTCATATTAGCCTGTATTAAGGAACCTCCAGAGGCATAGAGTACACTTACATTCCAGATGGAGTCCATCACATGTAACTCCCACCTTGTAGGACCTGACCTAAACCCACACCATTCTGGATCTAAACTATCCTGGTACTGAACTGAGTTTTGAAAATCCAGACAAACCCCTCTCATCTCTATACTTTTAGGTGCATTTTCCAGCTCTACTTTACACATGTGCTACTCTCTCTGAGCTCACATATTGAAAGCTTCCTTCCTGCACACCAGTCTGTGCCATGGCACCTAGGAGTGAATTAGTTGAACCAAAATGGTAATTGGAAAATAGTTTGTATAGCTTTGCAACAATGCGTTCAAATCACATTTGATTGCTAAGATATGGTTGATTTCCATCTTGGCCTCTTGACTTCTCTGTGGATCCCCTCTCCTTCACGTCTCTCTCTTTGTCCACCTTTAGATTGTGAGCTCCTCGGGGCAGGGCCTGTAGCTTTTCTGTTTGGAAAGCACTTGAATTATTACAAGCATAACAAGAAATAAATAATAATAATAATGGTGGAATACCTTCATATCATTTTTACTAGGTCAACTCTTTTAGAGAGTTCTCTTTTCTACTGTAACATTTGTTCTAAGAATGACATAAAGCCAATGTGTCACATGTCGCAAAATTCTCTATATCCCAGTTAACAGTCCTTCACCAATGATTTCACTTTCTCATTCTTCATCGTGGTTTGTAACACCTTGGAGTCCTAAGCTTACTACCTTTTCACTAGCCAAATTCAAAACAAACAGTCCTTGCTCCAAAGAGCTTTCAATGCATTCCAGCCATGTATTTTCATTCTAGACAAAACGTGCCTAAGCAGGGTATTTATAATGCCACCAGCACCATTATCAGAACAAGTTAACTGCCACAGGTCTAAGAGCTCTGCATGTTATTCTGCCATCATAAGCGCCTGATTCTCCTGTGCATGAAGTTGCCAACAGGGCAAAACTACAGGACAGTTAACCTGAAACATCAGCCATGCCATCACATCATGACCCCACTGTGCTGGAAGTCAGTCTAAGTCTTGGAGTGGATACAAGACAGAACAGCAAAGACAGCGCAGGTGGGCAAGATACTTCGGCATAGGGCCATAACATTGTATTGCATAGCAATAGGTGGTCAGTCTTTTGCTGGTTTTTTTCTTTCTTTTACAACCAAATATTGAAATGAAGGTCTATTAAATAAAGCATACTTCAAATCAACATTTGCTCTATTTTTATGTGATTTTTAGGCATCAAAACCTGACACAAATAAGGACCTGATCCCATTCCATTTAAATTTAATGGCAAATAAGCACCATATTCTGTGAAAAGAAATAAGAGCCCAAAATATGTCCAAATTTGAAATGGTGGTGGACTTTTATTGCTTTGCAGATGGCCAAAAAAATCCCTTCTCATTGGATGCCTCCAAGAGGACATCTGTGCCAAGAAAGATTTAGAGGTGCACAGAGCAGGGTTTGTAACGCCACAGCAGAGGCATTATTAAGCTTTGCAAAGCTGAGCATACATTCTCCTCAAGAGAAATAAAAGGTTAAAACCTACCCGTCCCTGCCTGCAGTCTCCATTAGCATCAATGTAGAAGGGACACAAGAAAACCAGGATATTAACCCCTATAAAAGACCGTCTTTTGAAGCAGAGTTTAAAATCATGAAATGTTTCAAGAAGTTAGAAAATTGTCTAAATACAAAGGGGTTTAATCCCAATATTAGGTCGTTCAGAATGTTCAGAAAACATTTTTTAAATTTATACTTTCTTTTTTTTTTTTTTTTGTAAGGACAAAAACTGACTGCCCTTTGCATCTTCATCAGCTCCTGGAGAAACAGAGAGAGTGCAGACAGCACAGCAGGACTCTTCTACCCTGGCATAGCTGGGCAGGAGCCAGCTTGAATTCTTACAACCCAGTCCTCCCAAGCACAGCAGGTCTGAGCCAAAACAGACTGGGTAGTGGGTATCTTTATCAAGGTTGGTTTGACTTCCACTCTCCCCAGGCTACACATTTATTCACAGTCAGAGGTAGTGATGCAAGGACTGCATGCTATACCTTCCAAACAAAATTGCAAAAGGTGCTTCTGACTCTGCGTGCTTCATTGGCCCTCCAGGGCACTGCAGAGGTGAAAGCCATGCATCAGAGGGTTCAGACTGCAGGGTCCTGTGAGCTGGCTGCAGGCCACTGCGCTACCTGTATGTGGTACAATATCAGCAGAGAGCAAGCCAGGTAGATGCCTCTCAGGGAAGAACCATGGCTCTGCAGCTGGTTTTAATCTTGCTTTCTTGGTCCACAGATTGAGACCGTTATATTTTGATTGGTGTGGGCCAACCACCTCACACATGCTGTTTGTATGAGGCACTTGGCACACAGCACCTTTTTTTTTTTTTTTTTTTTTTTTTGATTAGTCAGGATTTAAAGAGAAATTCTATGACTTTTCTAATCTGTGTTTTTCTGTGAATAAGTAGTGTCTAGTTCCAGCAAAATTTGTATCTTCATCATAGCTTTAACTGTTGAGAGCTGTAAAAGATGAGGAAATTTCTGGTATTTGGGCACCCAAAAGTTCTTCAACAGAATGTTTGAAACAAGAATGTCTTCCTTAATAGCATCATTGGACTGATCTTTCAGGACGACAATTTTTGCATAGCTTCCTCACAGGAATAAAGTGTAGACAAAAGACACAAATGATTATATGTCTGTCTCAAATTCTACTGTATGTGTATTGCAGGCTATAACATCCCACTTCCTCTCTAAACCTCAGATGAATATTTAATCAGATTCTGGGAAGTAGCATGAAAGAGAAAAGAAGCGGATCTTAAAGAAGCTGATCTTTAAGCGGATGCTTAAAGATTGTGATGAGGCAATGAACTTTTGAATACAGTTCAAAACATTTGGTGTCAAGTTTTCTTCTGGGAATATAGAGGTACAAGTTGGAAAACAACATAATCCATCTGCATTTTAAAGTCTCTTAAGAGATACCAACAGCTTTAGTGAGTAGGGCAACCTCACATAAACAATAGTACTGGTAATGGTAATCGTAGTGGTGGTGATTGCAGTAGTAGTAGAAGTAGCAGTAGTAGTAGTAATAGTAGTAGTAGTATAAATGTAACTGTAACAATAGCAATCCTGCGCATTTACCCCAGGGAAGTGGAACTCCTCAGTCCTAATCCCTGCTCTACAGTTTGCCTGTTTTCCACGTCGAGCAACCATTCGATAACACCAGTAAGCTGCCCTCGGGGACAGCTGTCCTCCAATGTAAGTACTCTAATCTCTAGACTAAAAATCTTACTTCTCTGTGTTTCAACTCTTTGACTAGCTGAAGCTTTAGTTACGGACCCTACATTCACTGCAGCAGGAGCAGATTAGAAATCCTTTGAGACAGTTTATGGTTAAGTGTTGGACATACTCCAAAATAAATTGCTGCGGTTAAGGATGAGTTTAAATCCTCTAGATATGAAAAGGAATTAAACTCATTGAACTACATCGAATCAAGTTCACTAACCACTGATTTAGTAATTGAAGAGTAGTCTTATTTGTATAAGTGCAAAAGAATGGAACAGAGATGGCTCCTTGTTAACATTAAAACAACCAAAAAAAAGTTGCAGCCTTCAACCTTCATGAACATAGGACTGTAAGAGAACTCAGTCATTCTCTCCCTAAACCAATCAAATCCTCTGCTGTTGTTAAATATAGTTATGAAATGTTTATACACATGAATAATTTCAGCTGCTTATATTCATACCCTTTGGGCAGTCACTATCTTCTAACTTTACAGCTTTTCTCTGACTAATGTTTGTTCTTCTGACTGTACTCTTCACCCTT